CTCTAAGAAGTATATGCTATTGTTGAGTCAAGAAAACATTCCATAAGAGCGAAACTCACAAGTATACCCTCCTTCACTGGAAATCAGATCCTAACTAATAAGTTATCAGAACATTTTAAAGGGAGTGTGTAATTGAGTTAAAGGGCGTTCTGGTAAAATATACCCTATATAATTAATAGTCTATTTCCTTTTCTATTCTAGAAAACTTTGATATATAGTTATAATATTCAATAAAATATATATCCAACTATTGTTCACATAGTATTAGAGTCAAGTTAAGAAACCATAAACTCTGCTATAAATCTTATTTGACCTTCATTGCCAAAATAAGAAAACCCTAAAGGGTGGTTGACCTTTATTGCCGGCTACCACAACCCTAACCTTCAGCCACCACAACAGCCATTTCCACCACAAGCCAGCCTTCATAGCGAGCCCTAGCCACCAAAAGCTCACAGCCAAAAGCTGCCAGAAGGAACTGCTCAGCAGTCAGTTGCCAGAACCACATGCCTGCACCTGCACAGTGCCCTATCCAGCCAATCCTGCCACAGCCTCACACCCAGCTTCTTCAGTCACACCTCCAACCTCCTTGGCTGCACACCGCCAGCCGCATAGACCAAGCTATGGCTCATCCTATTGCACATGTCTCTGTCTAGGTTGCTGAGACTTGTGCTACCGCCTTCCTGCTCGGTTGCTCCAGTTGATGGTTCTATCCAGGCACACAGCCGCGCTCTCTACTGGCAACATCCTTCCCATGACCTTTTATTTGATCTTAATTGCTCCACAACTCTTAAAATAAGTCGGAGGCTATATCCCAAAGTACAGGAACAAATTCCCAAATGGGAAACACTACCAAAATAATAGAAAATTTCAGCCAATTCAAGCTGCTTATCACTTCACCGGGAAGGACTACTTGAGTTGGTTGCAATTAATTTGGATCAAAAGAAAAGGAAAACTCAACCACCTCTTAGGCAGAGGACCAAAACCAGAAGACCCCGCGTTTGACATGTGGGATGAAGAAGACTCAATGATCATGATGTGGCTTTGGAACTTTATGTTGCCAGAGACAAATAAAACAATCATGTTCCTGCCCACAACCAGAGAAGTGTAGGATGAAATCAGAGAAACCAATTTTTAAGTCAAAGATGCAAGCCCGGATTTATGATTTGAAAGTCAAAACGTGGTCCACGAAACAAGAAAAGAGATTAATCACTAAATATCCTATTATGTTGTTAGGTTGGTGGCAGGAATTGGATCAATATTGAATTCTTGTGATGGATAGCAGTAGGATGCAGTCTGCTTCAAACAATTTGTGAATAAAGATCGGGCTTATCAGTTAGAACTCTTATTGATGTACATTCATGACTTGTTAAGAGATATGAGCATGCACTCCCTGCAGAAATACATTCATGACCTGTTAAAAGATATAAGTAACCTAGCATGTAAGTTGGCAAGAACTTCTATCAATCCCAATCATAATCTGGAGTGACATAACAAGATACACCAATAGATAAAGAGAGGTATCAGAGATTAGTTGCAAGATTAATGTATCTGTCACACACAAGACGTGACATCGCCTATACAATAAGTGTTATAAATCAGTTCATACACAACCTTAAAAAGTACACTTTCAAGCAACCTACAAAGTGATGCATTACTTAAAAGAGTCAACTGGTAAAGAAATTAAATTCATAAAAAATGACAAGTTACTCCTACAAGCCTATATGGGTACAAACTATGCAAGATCAGTGGCAGACAGAAGATCTACCACAGATTATTGTACTTTCCTTAGAAGCAAAGTATGGCTGCAAGGTCAAGTGCATACCCAGAACTTCGAGTAATGGCTCAAGGAGTATATGAATTACTATGACTAAAAAAATCTTAGAAGCTCTTAAAATCAAGTGGGATAGCCCATGTGCCTATAATGTGACAATAGATCAACCATAAACACAGCCCATAATCTGGTTCAACATGACAAAACTAAATATATTGAAGTTAGTAGATGGTGACTTAATATGTAGTCCATGCATGGCAACCAGTTCACAGCTTGCAAATATGTTGACTAAAAACCTGAGTATTCAGCATTCCAAACTATCATTAGCAAGCAAGGTGGGGATGAATAATATTGATTCCTTATCTTGAGAAGTATTAAAGAGAGTATGTAATTAGGTTAAAGAACATTAGGGTAAACTATACCGTACGTAATTAATGTAAGTAATGATATATTCTTTTTATATTTTAGAAAACCTGCATATATTGAACCGTAAAATTCAATAAAATACATATTCAACCATTCTTCATAGAACATCAATCCCAAACAAAAAAATATGCCTGTGTACCGAGTTCCATAGAAATTAGAATCTACCTTTCTCCTGTATTCCTTTTTCAATACTATAGCGTCAATCTTTTTATGACGAGGAAAACCCAATGCCTCATAATGATCAATACTATTTAATATCCTTCTCATTTCATCAGCTGAATTGATTTCTTCTCTGATCACCTTGCTAGTAGAAGACTCCTTCTGGTTAGTAACAATAGTTGTAGCAGCTGGCTTGGTGTATGCTTTACTTGAGTGCACCTTCTCAGGTTCATCAACAGGAACTGAGTACTCACACTCTCCAGAGAACTCATCTTCCAGAACTTTTTCTGCTTGTTTCAGTTCTTCAGAATGTGTGCTTTCACTCACATTGTCACACCATTGGAGCAGACAATTACATAGATCATTTGAGAGAAATGAAAGATTAACTGACAGAGAAACACCAAGCCATCCAAGTTGAACTTTGACACAATAAAGTGCATATACAGTTGCCATCAAGACCACCAACCGAGCA